TAAACCTACTACAAAACACTCTGCCATCAAGTGAATTCCATCTCACAGCCTCATCTTTCTCCCACAGAGCAACAGGTGGGTTTGAACTGTTTACCTTACAGTTAGCCATCCAGTGCCTTGTTCACAGTACCACCAGGGTTTATTAATTGAATATCCTTGCCAGATATCCTTGGTCTTGATTTTTTCACTACACTAGGATTCCCATGTGTGGGCTGGAATTTTTACATGCTGTGAAAAATGTTAAGGTAGCAACCAGAAAGTTTTACCTGACCATAATATTTCCTGCCTGTAGTCAATATGAGATGAACATACCAAAGAGGCAGTAAGTAAGAATTAAAATTAGCCAATCCGTCATGGCAATGCCATTTTAATAAGTCTTACTTTATTCCTGACTACCATAGAATTCTCAGTGTCCTCAAAAGTATGTTTTGTATGTAGGCCGTGGAATGAGGGATATCATTGCTGATGTCCAATGGATATTGACTAAAAGCAGAGAATATCAGAAAGATGTTTACCTGTGCTTTATTGACTATGCAAAGCCTTTCGATTGTGTGGATCATGACAAGCTATGCACAACATTGCAAAGTATGAGTATTCCAAAACACTTAATTGTGCTCATAAGGAATCTGTACATGGACCAAGAGGCAGTTGTTCGAACAGAACATGGGAACACTGAATGGTTTAAAATTAAGAAAGGTGTGAGACAAGGTTGTATTCTTTCACCATACTTATTCAACCTGTATGCTGAGCAAATAATCCGAGAAGCTGGGTTATATGAAGAAAAACATGGCATCAGTATTAGAGGAAGACTCATTAACAACCTGTGATATGCAGATGATACAACATTGCTTGATGAAAGTGAAGAGGACTTAAAATATTTACCGATGAAGATCAAAGAGTACAGCCTTCGATATGGATTACATCTCAATGTAAACACAATGAAAATCCTCACCACTAGACCAATCAACAACATTCTTATCAACAGAGAAAAGATTGAAGTTGTCAAGGATTTCATTCTTGGATCAACTATCAACACTCACAGAAGCAGTCAAGAAATCAAACGACGTATTGCATTAGGCAACTCTGCTGCACAAGACCTTTTTAAAGTGTTGAAGAGAAAAGATGTCAGCTTGAAGACTAAGGTGTACCTGACCCAAGCCATGGTATTTTCAATAACCTCACATGCATGCAAAAGTTGGACAGTGAATTAGGAAGACCATAGAAGAATTGATGATTTTGAGTTATGGTGTTGGAGGAGAATATTGAAAGTGCCATGGGCTGCCAAAAGAACCAATAGATCTGTTTTGGAAAGTGCAGCCAGAGTGCTCCTTGGAGGCCAAGATGGCCAAACTTCATCTCTCATACTTCAGACATATTGTCAGGAGGGACCAGTCGCTGGAGAAGGATATCATGTTTGGTAAGGTGAAGGGTCAGAGGAAAAGAGGAAGACCCCCAACAAGATGGATTGGCCAAGTGGCAATGTGGATGGACTCAAGCATGGCAACAGAAGTGAGGTTGGCCCAGGGTTGATACTGACTCAATGGCACCTAATAACAACAGCAACAATCCTGTGCAGCTGACACCCAAGAAAGTCTGAGCTCTACGTACCACCTTGTCATCTTCTTCACTAAAGTCTGTCCTTCCTCTCCTTTCCCCTGGAGATGGCTTGAAACTGATTGAGGAAGCCCACTTCCATGTCCACTCTGGTCTACTCATTTCAGTAATGGTTCAAAACACTCACCATGTTGACTGGGTTCCTCTTTCACTCTCCCTTTTATCAATGTCATGCCTAGTTTTTCCAAAGTTCCATTGTCACCAAACACAATCCCAAAATATCAGTAATTACGATTGTTGTTAAGTGCTGTCAAGTCCATTCCAACTTGTAATGACCATATACAGGTTTCCAAGACTGTAAATCCTTGCAGGAGTAGAAAGCCTCATATTTCTCCCGTGGAGTGGCTGGTGGGCTCTAACCACTGGCCTTGTGGTTTGCAGTCCAGTGCTTATCCTACTGACCCATCATGCCCCCTTAATGTAGTATGGAAAAGATACTTAAGTTTCATTAAGCAAATTCTTATGGTCAAAACATTTAGATGTCATTTGCTTTTACCAGGAGGGTTTCTAGGTTAAATAATGTGCAAATGCACCTACTGAGCTAGTCACAATGCAATATTAGAGGTGTTTTATTTTATCTGTATATTCGCAATGCTACCCCAACCTCATCCTTGCACACTCCGTATCTAAAATTTTTAATTAAAAAAAAAAAATGTGTAATAAGTTCATGTTAACTATCCTACCAAAAGCAGGTAGTCTTTGGGGGGAAAGCGTGAGTGAAAGGGATGGGTAAAAGACACCCCCAACCATTGAAGCTAATAGCCAGATGGTATCAACTGGACAGCTGAATTGCCACACATGTCATTAAGAAGAAAAATGACTGAAATTAATGGTAGTGCTCTGTCACTTAACCCAGGCCAACTGAAGATCCTTGTAAAAGAATGAAAATGTCTTGAAGAATTCACACCAAAGAATCTTTTAAAAGCAGCTCTAGCTATATAGTGGCAATGGAAAACATGGGGGAACTAAAGAAAGGAGAAGACTTTTAATTTGTAAACCCTCATGATAGCATTTATTGTTTTTTTACATGCACAGTGTGTTGTTGTTTTTTTAATAGAAGTTAAGGCATCAGTTCAAGTTTGTAAAATTTATAAAATGTACAAATCAACATTTGCAAATTTTAAAAGTTCAATGAATATAAACACGAGCAAAACAAATTTCCAATAAAAATATGAAAAAGGGCTTCAAGTTCAATAGTAGTCAAAGACATGCAGTTAAAATACTCCTCTTCTCAGACTGACAAAATAATAGTAGTTATACTCAGTGCTGAAAGGCACACATGCAGGGTTTGTGGGAATATAATCTGGCAGAATATCTTTGGATGTTCTTTGTGGTGGCAGCTTTCTAAATTAAAGAAGTGAGTACTCTTTGAATCTAGATGTTCTACGTCTTTTATACAGACATGCACAGGCTTGCAAATTACTTTTAAATAGGTATTTATTACACCGTAATTTACAATGAAAAAAACAGGAACATACTAAATGTTCAGCTATAGGGAAAGGTTAAATAAACTATAGAACATTGAAACATATACAATGAAATGAAATATTATGAGGTTGTTAAAACTCTATCTACCACATATTATTAGCTCCTGTCATGATGGCCCCCAACATATATAGAAAAAAAAAAAAAAAAACCAAGTTGCATACAATGATATAGTGTGGTTCTATTTAAACATTCAGATTTGTGTATTAGCATACAGGGCCAACCCCCAGGTTACAAACAAGATCCATTCCTCAGTCTGTCTTATGAACAAAGTCGAATTTGTACGTAAGTCAGAATGGCTTAACATCAGTCAAAAGTGTGTCTTAGTATTTAGTGTATAGTTTATACCTTTCTATGTATAAAAACAACATGTGTAAAAGACATTAAAGAACACTTCCAGACACACTGAAACATTTCACATAATAATACTGTGAGGAGGTGCAAGGCCAGGGAGAATTTCATTCTGTTATCCATGGGCTTGTTATGAGACAGAAGTGACTCTGTGACAACTAACACCAATTATACTAATAATGTTTGGATGTGCTTTGCAAAGTTGCGCCTGTTTATTATTATGAGCCATTGTATGTACCTTGAATTTTAATGTAATAAACTTTCTGGGAGCTCTTTCATAACTATAGTTTGCACACAGGGATGTTTGTTGTTTAGGGATTGTCTATGTACTTGGAGAGCAAACTAGAAGGATATAAATACCAAACTATATTAAAATAAAACCAAAAATACACTGCCATCCAGTCAATTTCAACTCATAGCTACCCTACATAGGATTTCTGAGGTTATAAATCTTCAGGGGTATAGAAAGAATCTTCTTTCTTCCTTGAAGCATCTGGTGACTTTGAACTGCTGCCCTTGGTTATCCAACAGCACCACCAGGGCCCCTTATATTAATATAGGCTGTCACATTTATTGTTATTCACCATGACTACATACATGCATGAGTTCCAGTGTGGTGCTATAGGATAAGCACTGGGCTCCTAACCTTGTACAAGTTCAAACTCACCAGTCACTCCTCAGAAAACCTTTAAAGAGTTTTGAGTTGGAACCAACTCAAGGGCGTTTAACAGCAACACCACCACCACATGCAAGCACTCTCCTAGAAACCATGGTCAGTATAAAAATGCTTAAGGCTCTGTTCTCACACTGAAGATTTGTCCTATTAAAGAGCTAACAAGAGTAAGGAAAAGAGGGGCAAACGGATGGATAGTGTGTGTGTGGTAGTTCATTAACAGCACACAGAGACTTAGAAATGGACAGGGGCCTGAGTGTGAATCAAGTGGACACTAGCTCTGTCAACTTGGGCAAGATATTCAACATCTGTAAAATGGGGGTAATCATTCCTAGTCTGAGTGGTTGTGAAGAATAGAAATTAAAAATTTCTTAGTGTAGTGCTTGGTTAAAATTATAAATAAAAGTAGGTCCCAAATAACTACAACAAAAGGTGACAAGTGACATAAGAGAAGTGCAAATAAAGGACAGAGGGGGTTCCCAGCCGGAAGGCTCACACCTGGCAGGAAGCTGCACGTGAGCATGCAAGGGCCCTCCCAACTTCCAGGTGATGTGCCGCCCCAGCACACAGCGAGGCAGGGCAGAACTGGACAGTACAAGGCCCACGGGCTCTGACGGGTGACTGGGAGCACAGAGGAGCTGAGCAAGCTCAGGCAAAGGCAGATATTACAAGTGCAGTGGCTGCCTTTCAGCTAGCTATTGCTTTTGAGACTAGCACTCAGAGGGGTTAGAAGGGGATTTGGAAAGGGCTCAGCCAGCACAGTTGACTGTAGCACTTCACTGAGGGGTGAAGATCATTCCATAGAGGTTACCTCGTTTTTTCCTTCCACCCTCCCATTCTGCATGACTAAGGTGAAGCGTTTTTCTCTCTTCTCCAGCTCAGAGGCTGAGAATGGTGTGGAGGAGAAAAAGAAGGTCTGTAAGTCGCCAACAGCCCAGTCCCCCACCTCACCCAATGAGGCTGAGTCCGCAGAGCAGAAGAGAATTATTTGCATGCGGTAAGTCCTCTTTGCCTTTGTGGGGAGGAGGGATTGCTAGGAGCAGTTGTTTCTAGTTGTGTGACTGTTAAAAGAGTGTGGGGCCACTATGAATAAACAACACCCCCTGAGTGAGAAAAAAGTAGACTTTTTCATTGGTATCTACAGACTGGAGTTCAACTTCATCTGCCATCTTTTGTTCTTAAATTTTGCTGTTGAAAATATGCACAGCAAAATACATGAGAATCCAGTTGTTTCTACCTGTGCTGTCAGTGACACTGATAACATTCTTCAGGTGAAACCATTTTCCCCTCCTTTTCCGAATTATTCCTCTCCCATTAACACAAGCTCGCTGCCTCCTAAGGTTCCTATCTACTCATTTGAGTTGCGGTTGTCACTTTGATCCCAGCTAGAAGGTGGTTCTTACAACAGCATAATGCTCAAGGCAGATAATTTTACTAGTTAAGCCAAACTATTGTTTGTTTTTCCTAAGACTTCAGGGGATATATTTGACTTAAGTTTTATAGCTTCTCTGGTAATGTGTTCTTATTGTTGTTAAGTGCTGTCAAGTCGGTTCTGACCCATAGTGACCCTGTACAGGCTTTCCGAGGCTGTAAATCTTTACAGGAGCAGAAAGCCTCATCTTTCTCCCGTGGAACAGCTGGCAGTTTCTAACTACTGACCTTAAGGTTTGCAGCACGATTCGTAACCACTATGCTACCAGAGCAACATCTTTTTCTCCATCCTCTCCCAATCTTCTGAAGGAACGGTTGCCCTATTCTTTCTTGAAGCACTGATTTTGCTAACTGATAAAACAAAGTAACTTACTCTTGGGCAAAGATTTAGAAAGCACCTGGGAAAGCTGGCCAGGTTGCTAATGAGGTCTGCCCAGGTTGGAGTATGTGCACAGCCCCTGGGTGTGCACACCTGTTGGCTCCCTTTCTTGGCAGCTACTGAACAGAGTGGAGGAGAAGTCTGGCCCTCGGCTTGCTGGGGATCCTCAGGGCAGGGTGTGTAAGTTTCTGGTAGCCACCTGTTTGTTTCTTGCCTGGTGGTGTGAGGTGCGCTTGATGTGGTTGGAAAAGCAACGTCTGGGATTTGTGGAGGGGATATCACTATAGTTAATCCTCTTACTGTCAGAGACACAAATTACCTACCTTCTCCCACATGGAAAGGAGAAGCAGGGTCTTAAAGGTGCTTTTCAGTGGTTACACTAATGGTCATTTATGGGGAAATGTGGCTTATTTCTCTATGCCAACTTAAGGACAGCGATCACTCACTTTCCCCCATTATTAGAACTGGTAGCCCTGCTGCCTTCTCTTTCCTTTGGCCTCTGCTAAGAGATGATCAAATAACTCGTGCTTTTCACTTCCTTCCTGGCTACCAGCCCATGTCTTCTCTCCAAATCTATACTTCCTGCAGGACCAAGCGTAAGTTTTACCTCTTCTCCAGAACTGTCTTTTTCTGACTATGCCTCCCAGTTGTCCCTCCATCTTTTCTGCATGCCTGTTTTGTGACGTTTCATTTTTAACCATTTTCCTGGAGTTCTTGCCAGGACACTTGCCTTGCTCACTAGATGATTCTCTCCACAGAAGCACAAAGCATGTCATTTCTTGTATCTCCCACCATTGTTAACTGGCTTTCATAGGTACTTAATGGTTTAACTCCAAACTCAGGCTTCTGATGAGAATAATACCTAATCAGGGCGAGTATGCTGAACTTCAGGAGTGTGATCTGTGCTGTTCCAAAGAGCCCTATGTATGGTTTAATGCTCGGCTGTCACTGTCTTGATAGTCTTCATTGTTTAATAAGGGCCCCACATTTTCATTTTATACTGGGCTCCTGGCCTTGCTCATAGTCATTCCAAGGTGTATCTGCTGATAATAATGGTACTTATGGCAAGCCCTGACATTGCACCCCTGAGCTGTAGGATAAACCCTGGACTACAATATTGATTGGTTTGATGATGCTAAAAGCCACCTGGTAGTTCAAACCCACTGGCCACTCCTCGGAAACCCTATACTGATTCACTGTGACTTGGAACCGACTGACTGTACTTAACAGCAGCAACACTAAGAATGAACAGAGGTAACCAGGGCCCAGGGATAATCTCTAAGTTTCCCTCCTGCCCCCACTCAATTTAAAAACAAGTAGACATAGATAACAGCAAGCATCAGTAAAAACACCTTCCCTCCTATGGATCAACTGCCTCAGTCAGGTGCCTTTCATATTTGTGGCACTTCAAAATGTCTCTCTATGCCTCTTCGGGTGCCCCCTTGGCCTTGTACCTTGAGGAGCAAGTTTTCCCCTCTGTACACCCCCTCCCTACACTTCTATATCCACCATCTTGGAAGAAGGATATTGGGTCATGGCCAAGTTAACAGATACTGATCAGTGGGCCTCTTCAAGTGGTGCCCAGGGAGTGTGCCATACCTGCCATACCTTAGATATACCTCTGTAATTACCTGTAGAAAGTGAGAATAGATGTTGGAAAGACTCACAAAAAATAATATTACATAAATAAGCACCCCACCCTCTGAGGTCAATGTTATGCAGACAAACCCTTTTACTGTTTGTGTCTTTTCCAATTACCAAGAGTAGATCTACCCTCCTTCTCATATTTGCTGACAGCCCATGGTTTTTTAAAAGGTATGATTATTTCCTCAGCAATTCCATTTGCATTTACTAAACTTCCAAATCGGTGAATAGTATACATAATTCAAATTCAAATCTGTCAATGGTATAGATAATATACAATTTGACCTTTGTAGAAATAATTTTATCTTTAAGCAAAGTACAAGTGTTTACTTCTATTTTCCCCAAAATTAATCCCCAGGGTTCTATGGGAATGTATACCTGCCAACAGATGCAATCTCACCATTCGCTCCTAGGAAACCCTATACAGGGTCACTGTGGGTCGGAACCGACTCTATGGCACTTAACAACAACAGATGCAATGGCCTGTCACTAAATTCAAAAATCTGTTTACCTTAAACTAATGAGGAATTTTATCTGTGACTTTTAGCATCATAGAGTTCAGAGCAGTAAGGGCTTGAAGGGCCTAGGAAACATAGGGTGAGTGATACATGTGATGATGATTTCACAGCTCAACAAACCAGAGCCCAGTGTCTCCCACACTTCAGTCATTCCTGCCCTTCTGTCACACCTGTACACCACCTGAATTACACAGGAGTCTTAAATCTGCTCATTGTAAGAAATAGCATTGTGCAATCATGGATTTTATGTGTCATTCCTCCAATAAACAATAAAACAACCATATAAGTTTATAATAAAACTTGCTTAGCTACATACTTCTAAAAATCACACATGCATTCATATTTGAAGTGAACATTTTCAGTTGTGGGCTTGAACGAAGATATGTGTAAATTCATGCAATTACTAAAATAGAGTCCTGGTATGACAATGCAGGATAATGCGCTGGACCATAAGGTCAGTTTAAACTGCAAGTCGGCGGTTCAAACTCATCGGCTGCCCCTCGAAAGCCATATACACATTCACTATCTGTCAGAACCACTGGACAGCACTTAACAACAACTACTGAAATAAAAAACTAGGACTACAATTACCTTAGTGGGAAATGCTGCTGGAGATCTAGCATCTGCCCTTAATAAACAAAGGAAGACTTAATTGACTTCCAAGGGTGTTCTTTTGTTTCCCAGAGTTCCCGTTTACTATTTCCCCAGCCTGCGATGTTTTTTTGTCTATCTTTTTTTCATTTCCATTCTGCTCACCCTAAAAGGCCCAACATATTAATCCACATTGTTCTATTAACCTTTCTCTTACCTACCGCTGGACTTATTATCTATATATTGTCTCCTAACTTCTATTATTGCATTGCTTTGCTGTTAAAGCCTACATAGCCCTTGTGAAAAAAGAAAAAAAAAAAGCTTGATTTGTGCCCAGGCTCCTTATGGATAGAGACTGCCTTGTGTGCCCCTAGGCGTTTAGCAAAATGCTCTACTCAATTAATACTTGTAAAATATTAATAGAATTTTTAAATAAAAATCTTCTTTGATTGAGCTATAGCAGCAATTTTGTTTATTAATTTGCCTGCAGTACTCATCTTTGCACTGATTAAAACACTTTTGAAATGATATAATTACTTTCACAGCTCGATCATTATTTCTTCCTTCTATAATTTACCACTTCTACAGTTCAAGACAGCCTTGTGAAATCATTGCAACCTCCTAAAACACATTCTATGTAAATGCCTCAAGAGTATCCTGAATGATTATCGATGTCTAGAAGAGGAAAATGAAATGTCCAGTGTTCTTGTGACATGATATAGTAATTAAGATTATAAGAAAATTAATAACGTAGCATAAAATATCCATCTTATCAAGTCCGTGGGCTTTCTTTTCCCAGGTCGAAATCCAGTTTTGATGGTACCTCCGTAGCAGGTGATAAGAACGATTGTAAAACAGAAAGTAAAGCTGATTCTAAAACTGAAAGGAAGAAGTCTTCGTCTTCCAGCCAGGTAATTTGGAAATGGAATGTGTACTATCTCAGAGGATGACGGAAGTACTGAGGCCGATGGAAAGAAAGAACCCACATGAGCAGCTTCCTGCTGGTCAGGATGAATTTAGGCGTAGGTTAGAGAGAATGTTTTAGAACACACAGGCTTCAGTTCCTCCAGTCAGTCTTCTATCAATATTATCTTTCTTTTTTTTTTTTTTTTTTAAGGTTTTTATTGTGGATTGAGTGAAAGTTTTCAGGGCACATCATCGGTTTCACATTCAAACATTCATATACCTTGTTTCATTACATTGATTATAATCCCCTCCACATACCATCAGTTTCTCTATATCCTCTTTAGCTTTTTGGGGCGGGGAACTTTGCCTTTTTGGAATTTACAGTCTCGGCTTTTAGGGAAGGTTTTTACATTTATCTGTGGGTATCCAGGGCTCATGTATGGAATTACTAACCAGCATAACTGAATAATTAGAAAAGGGACATTTTGCTATGTCTGCTAGGTGGCTAAAGTCTGATCCTCAGAGCCTATGGTTTGGACGGTCAGAAACTCAATATTATCTTTCACAACTGACCTTTCAACACGTAATGATGGACAGTGAGTTCCAGGTTCTGATCCCTAACTCTGGCAAGAACCCAGAGAGCAGAGACCAAACCAGAATCATGTGCTTATCTAATAATTAGCCAGGAACAGGAGAGGGATGACATCCTTGCATTTAAAGAGTGTGACAAGGCAATTGGCTGAATAGTTATTCATCTTCACACAGAGGAGGAAAACCTATGAATAGGGTCATCATTCTCATCTAGAAGTCATTTTAGTTCCGTTCTAAAATACACAGATAGGAACAAAGCCCAGTGTCAAAGAGTGTGGCACATTTACTGGGCTGGGATTTTTTTTTTTTTTTTCCTTTTATTTACTTATTTTTTTTTGAGACACTTCACACCTACTACTTGAGCATGTATCTCCTGAGCCTGGTAGGGGGAAGAACTGTTGGCACACACAATAAATTTAGCTAAATATGTTTTGTGATCCTGTATTTGGTTTCCAAGACTTTAGATATTCAAGAAAACCTCATCTTTCCCCTGCGGAGTAGCTGGCAAGCTCAAACCATGGACCATGTAGTTCACAGACCAATGTTTATTGTATAGAGCCACCTCGTTCCCTAGCTAAATATTAAACATACAAAAATATTATGAATATAAAATGTATATTCAAGTTCCCATGATTGTAGGAATGAATTCCCTTTATAAAAGTATCTTTTCCTCTCCAGGATCCAATTAAGAATTATACTGCATTTGTTTGGTTTCCTAATTCGATTACTGCCCCTATCCCACACATTAAAAAAAAACAACCTTTTAGTGCATTGCCATTTTTTAAAGAGTGTGGTCTGGGATATTTTTTAATCAAGTGTACAACCAACACTCATGATGTCATTGAAAACAAAATCCTTAGTTTTAATGAAACAAAATCCTTAGTTTTAATGAAGGCAACTCTCTGGGTGAAAAAGTGCTCCCAAAAATAGCATATGGTAGCTCTCTTTATAGGAGGTGTTTATGTGTAAAATAGTTGACTCTCTCAGGGACCATCTATCATCTTGATGCTCTGTTCTCTCTAGCTCTGTTTTATTGCAATAATAGCCCAGTCTTTCTTTAAGACTATTTGTACGTTGGATAACATATCAAAGACATATTTGTGCTTACTTTTAGTCTTTTCCTCATAAGACTCTTCCATCAAAAGCATCCTATGAGGAAGAGAGGTCTTTTAGAAGAAGGACCCAGCTCTGTTACCTATTAATAATAGTTGTGTGTTGCTGATTAAATCAGTCATATTCCTGAGGCATCGTGTCCCAGTTCTTGGAATGGGGACACCAGGTTCACAAGGTGATTGTGAGGATGATGTTTGTGAAAGCACTTTTACAAACTGTAAATTGCCATCTCTACATTGTCGTTGGTATAGAAACAGAAGCCTTGAAAATGAAGGGATTGGTAGCATTTCAGACTCTTAGTGAGTTACATTTTTGGTATAAAATCTAACTTGTCTTGATAGTCATCTCCCTCTGAGGCTGGCTGAAGAGATGCCTTCACAACAATAGTAGTAATTGTTCCCATATGTTTTCCCAGGCAGTAGGTCCTTTGCATGTATTCTCTTATGTAAGCCATATGGCTTCCCTGTGAGGCAGGAGTATACACACTGGCATACACACACACACAAAGAAACTGAGGTTAAGTGACTTGGTCATGATTACACACCAAGTAAGAGGGAGAGCCCACACTTCAACTCAGTTGAATTTGTCTGATTACAAAGCTTTAACTGTACTCTTCTGCCTGATGTGTGCCCTTTTGCCCTGGGATCTACTCATCTTCTTTTGTGAGCCTCCCTAGAATCCCAGCTGGATTCTTATCAAGGACATTCTTGTTCAGTCCTATTTCTCAGCAGAAAACTGGCCACCAACTGTGTTATTATAAATGTATGTGTCCAACCAAGATGTCACTAGTCTAACTGGAGTATGAAACACTTTGTGTCCTGCCATCTATGTTTTCCAATGAAGGATTGTGTTGGAGACTCTACACTGTGTTATTTAATTTAGATTGAAATGGAATTGGTAATGTTTCACACACAAAAAAAAAAGTTAGAGCAGTGATGCTTGTATTTTGTTCTCCTTGTAGTACAAGGCCAATATGCACTTTCACAAGTTGTTTCTTGATGTCCCAACTGAGGAACCATTAAGGCAAAGTAAGTTCTGACCGTTTTAAACTTTTTTTAAGCTAAATATTTGAAAGGTGCTAATTACAATAATTAGTTTTCGGGGGGCCAGAGGGCATGGACTTGAGATTGAGTCACTAAGGAGATTTGTTGTTGTTGTTAGGTGCCATCGATTCGGTACCGACTCAAAGTGACCTTATGCACAGCAGAACAAAACACTGCCCGATCCCGGGCCAACCTCACTACTGTTGCCATGCTTGAGTCCATTGATGCTGCCACTTGGCAATCCATCTCGTCGAGGGTCTTCCTCTTTGTCTCTGACCCTCCACCTTACCAAACATGATATCCTTCTCCAGCAACTGATCCCTAGTGACAATATGTCTGGAGTATGAGAGATGAAGTTTGGCCATCCTGGCCACCAAGGAGCACTCTGGCTGCACTTCTTCCAACACAGATCTCTTGGTTCTTTTGGCAGCCCATGGCACTTTCAATATTCTCCTCCAACACCATAATTCAAAAGCATCAATTCTTCTATGGTCTTCTTTATTAACTGTCCAGCTTTCACATCCATATGAGGTTACTGAAAATACCATGGCTTGGATCAGGCGATTAGGCTTCTGAAATAGTGCCCGTTTCATTAGCTCTCACTCAGGACCATGAAAGATAGAAGAGAAGAATGAGAACTTGAATGAGAAACTCCACATGATGTGGAATAATGTAAGATGGCTCCAAAATTATATCCTTGCCTTCCATATACACTGCTGCAATATATGTGATTGGATTGTGATGAAATTTAAGCTACAGTAGTAGGTCCCCAGAGGCCACTATAAAATCCATTGCTGTTAAGTTCATTCAAACTCACAGTAATCTTATAGGACAGACTCGAGCTGCTCTATAGGGTTTCCAAGGCTGTAAATCTTCCTGTCTCTGAGTCACTAAAATGTCTGTTTGTAAAATTTTTATTTTAGAGGGAATTCTAAATGATGCTTTACTTATATCTATTTTCCCAGGCTTTACCTGTGCTCTACAAAAAGAAATACTATACCAAGGAAAGCTCTTTGTGTCAGAAAACTGGATTTGTTTTCACTCGAAGGTCTTTGGAAGAGACACTAAGGTTGGTATAATTTAAGGAAAAAAAAAAAACTAACACTGCAATTTATTGCATATTGTGAATATTGTTTTTAATACATATTTGTTATTGATAAGGGATCCTAGTGTGGCACTGTAGGATAAGCAAAATAGGGGGTTGAAACTCACCAGCCACTCCTCAGAAACCCTATACACAGTTGCTATGGGTTAGAACCACACCCACCACCTCCACAGTACTTAACAACAACAATAACAAATTATGGATAAATTAAATTTATAAATATTTTAGTTATCATTATACTTTTATGCCAACTTAACTGTGTCCCAAATATAACAGATTCAAAATGTCTCCAGATGTCTCTAATTTTACCCTAAATGCCACTGTATTACTCATTTCCCTATACATATATACATTTACCTGTGTACAGCTATACTCTTAAATTTTTTATCCCAATATCATTAAAGAACATTCAAAGTATGTTCACCTAGACAAGTGCCTACAATTTGTTTCAAAGATATATGTTAAAACCAAAACTTTTTTTTTTTCCAGAAATGTTATATTTTATACTTTAGTAAGCAACTTACTAGCACTCACTTTATACCACCACCAGCACAAAATGAGCAGGCATTGGAACATTTAAGGTCTAGTCTCAAAGAGTAGCATACTGGGTTACACACTGGACCACTTCTGCAGGTTCTAACCCACCAGTCATCCCTCAGGAGAAAAATTAGTCTTTCTGCTCCTGTAAAGGTTTATAGCCTCAGAAACCCTCTGCAGGATCGTTATGAGTTGGAACCTACTTGAAAGAACACAACAACAACTCAAGAAATCACATATCCGTAGACTATAAGGTCTATTCATTAAATACAGCCTTAGGGGTGGAGAAGCCCATGAAATGCTGGCAGTCTTCCTAGGCCCCACCTCCTAACCTGTGGACCTAGGAATAGTGCCATAAGAAGGGAAAAGGCCCACTGGCATTCTGGATCTTAAAAACAACTGTTATTAAGTGCTGTTGAGTCCGTTTTGACACATAGCAACTCTGTGTAGAGTTTCCAAAGAGCAGCTGGTGGGTTTGAACTGCTGACCTTGTGCTTCACAGTCCAGTGCTATTAACAACAATAAAGGATAAGTAATTCACGAAGGCAGTGTAAGAAGCTAATATGATACTAGCAGTAGTCTCAAAATCCTACTTTTACCTGAAAACTAACATAAAGAAACTAAAAGCATTGCTGGGTATTATAAGGAATAGATACACCAGGATTACTTTTGCATATTATATGTAATCTACAGAAGTAGGAGGCTGAAAATCTAAGGATGTAGTTTAGAAGATTTATAATTCAGGTCTGTTTAGTATTTTGCTCGTTTTCCACTGACCTTAGTCCAGTATGATCCAGTATGAGCTGAAGGCTCCCAAACAGTTGCTCTAGGAAAAGGAAATTTCTAAGCAACTCACTCAACGAAGTGTGGTGGTTATGTACCATGGAGTCACAACTGACTCATAGTGACCCTGTACAGGGTTTCTGAGGTTGTAAATCTTTACGGGAGCAAAAAGCCTCATCCTTCTCCTGCAGAACAGTTGGTAGTTTCTAACTGCTGACCTTAAGGTTCGCAGCCCGATTTGTAACCACTGCGCTACCAGAGCTCCTTTAACAAAGTGTAGCTTTAATTTAATCAGGGTCTTTTAGTCAGCCAGTCAGTATTTTCAAATATAGCAACATTAGCACGCGAGTATCACATTCTGTCTAAGTTCAAAGTGCAAAGTGATTTATGCTTTATTTCACAAATGTTACCTACTTACAATCTTCCATTCATGAAACAGTTGATTGAAAACTCCTTCTTAAAGTGTCCTATGCATTAGATTATGAAAAACCTTAATTTATAGCTCTTGTCACTACATGTTTGTGTTCCTGCTCAGAAAAAAAAAAGGGGGGGGGGAGCTCATTTTTTATATCATCATCTATTTGATGTGTCTGAAGTTCTTTTTTCCAAAATTATCCCAATTTATAACAACTAAATTGTCTCACGCCTTTAAATTTTTGGTAGGTATAGTTCTTTGACAAAGTAGATTTTTTAAAATATCTCACTTGCCTCATTCTTCCCTCATATTCCCGTCCAGAACTTTGAGACCATAGAAAAATGCCATCTACTAAATCCAAATATGAATGACAGTCTTCAACATTAAAAGTTCATTCTTCTTCTGTCATACTGGCAGTACTAACATATGAAGCCTTCTCTTCCTCAATGACATTGATCTCTTTCAGAATTTGTGAAACCTTTGCCCAAGAGCAAAGCTCACAAGGCAAGAGGAGGCAGGAAAGATGGACAAATAAATGGAAATAGGGAATTCAAAGGGGGGTGTAGGGAGAGTGTTCTTATACTGAGGGGATTGCAGCTAATGTTCTGAAACAAAATATGTACAAATTATTGAATAGAAAACTAATTTATTCTGTAAACTTTTACCCAAACGGCAATAAAAGGTTTGGAAAAAAAATTTGTATCAAAAACATGTTATTTTTTTGTGACATCTGATATAGTCTTGTAGCTTATTATGTAGAAAAGAACCCACATTTGCCTCAAATTGGTTCAGATTCTATCTTTATAGCTTCTTATATGTGTGACCTTGAGTACAACATATTCCTTTCAAGAAATTTCCTTATATTGCCTACTTTATAGGATTCTTATAACGCAGTGACATTCTCATATGGTAAGTAGATATTAATAATGATAGTGGCTACAATTGTTTTTATACTTATTCTTTATTGCTTGACTCTGAAAAGAATTTGAGAGTTCTTTCATTTCGACATCTTCCTTTTCTACGACACATAAGGAAATGAAAGAAATTTTAATGAGTGCTGGGCATTTTGCATGCACTATCTCATTTAAACCACATAAAATCATGGGACGTGGGTAAGATTAACTCCATTTTACAAATCAGGAAACTAAGGCCTAGAAAGTATGCCTTACAAGGTCTAGTAGCTGATGGGTCATGTAGATAATAACAGAACAGAGCTGAGAATTCAGGTCCCCGATTTTCCACCCAGAGATCTTTCTACTAGACCAGTGCTTTTCTGAGTTTCCCCATCCACAGGTGTCTGAGAAACAGAGGAGCATAGATTTGTCAGGGTTAGTACAGAGTCAGGGACCACAGAGGGAAATTTCATTAGAGCCTTGGATTTAGCTTTAAAAAGAAATGTACATTTTGCATTCTATCCCTTTGTCTATTTAGAGATAAAGGTTCTCCTACCAAGACCTTCCAGTATAATTACACCCAGATTTATCCCCTGGTTTTGCAAACACCAATTTGAAGAACTCGGTGACATACCCCGTGCCACTCTCTTTAAGATCTAGTTTTCTTCATGGAAGCTGAAGAACTTGCTTCTGAGTTCGATTAAATGATTTATCTATCTTCCTTTACCTTAAAGTGTAACATGAAGTTTTTAAATGCTGTTCTGTGAAGTCTAAACCAGTACTTACTTGGTTATTCTGTTTCAGATCTCCATTCCGGCTCTCTCAGTAACCCTAATAAAGAAAACCAAAACTGCTCTTCTGGTGCCAAATGCCCTGGTTATAGCCACAGTCACTGACAGGGTGAGTATGTGCAGAACAGGAGCATCCTGACATTGTCCTCCTCTTCTGTGCTCCTTTGCCTCAGGGACCTCTTGCCAAGGACCAGTACCCTAAACTGCCATTATCCCCAGTAGTGAATCAGGAAATATTCTATATATAGAACATCCCAGTCTCTTGGCCTAATAATGTATTGAATACTTCTAATCTACCTCCTAAGGAGCCCTGGTGGCACTATAGGATAAGTACTGAACTGCTAATCATAAGGTAGGCAGTTCAAACCCAAAGGACACTCCATGGGAGAAAGATGAGACTTTCTGCTCTCATAAAGATTTACAGCCTTAGAAACTCTATATTGTTGTTGTTAAGTGCCGTCAAGTGGGTTCCAACTCATCGAGACCCTGTATATTGTTTCCAAGGAGTGACTGGTGATCTTGTGGTTCCAACTGAAATTTGCAGTCCAGAAATCCTATACAGGGTCACTGTAAGTTGGAATTAACTCAGTGGCAGTGGGTTGGGCTTGATTCTACCTCCAGGTTAATTTCATAGAGCCTGGGGTGTAATAGTTTGCAGGTGACCATCCGAGCACTGGTAGCGTAGTGGTTATGAATTGGGCTGTGAACCACAAGGTCAGCAGTTCGAAACTACCAGCTGTTCTGTGGGAGAAAGATGAGGCTTTCTGCTCCCATAAAGATTTATAGCCTCGGAAACCATGTACAAGGTCGCTATGAGTCAGAACCGACTCCATGGCACATAACCAACCAACCAACCAACCAATCCAAGCACAACAATTGGAGCAACAAAGGAAGAAGGATAATCAGTAATAGAAAGAAGATACGGAATATATGGCCAATTGCCTTTATGAATAATTGCCTCTTTTGCCATGAAACCAGAAAGACTGAATGGTTAATCTTTTCATTTTAAACCAAAAGTATCCCCTGAAGTCATCTTAAAACCAAACAATAGTTTAGTTTAACTAATAAAATATATCTGCCTTGAGCTTTATGCAAGTTTAAGAACTATTTATAGGGGACAGGCTTACGGGGTAGACTCTTTGGTTGGTTGATGATGCAGGGAGGGGATTGTAACCATGGCAATGTAACAATATACAATAAGATGAATGTAATGCTATTGTTCTCCCATGTGAACTATCACATAATTCACAATAAAACATTTAAAAAAAAGAACTCTTTGTATGGGATTGAAATGACAACCGTAACTCAAAAAATTAGATAGGAAACTTATGAGGTGACAAGTTTATGTTAATAGGGGAGAAACGAGTCAAAAAAGGAGGATGGGAGTGATTGCACAATTTAAATAATCCAATCATTAAATTGTCCATGTATAAACAGATTAGCATATGTTTTGCTATGTATATTCTCAGCAACAACAACAAAATGAAATTTAGGGGCAAAAAAGTATGGCCTTTAGATTTATAAAGTGTTGCCAATTCATAATTTCTTGCTGGCTTAATTATACCAGTTACTTGGTCATATTGCTTGACCAAGGTTAAAAAAAAACTTTTTTTTTCTAACTTTCCTGACATGTTAGGTCAGGCTAAACAGACATATCGATTTTTTAACATTAAAAACAAAAATGACAACTGTAACCTTGTGGACAGGGTAGGACACCATGAAACAGGAGTCCTTAGGGTTGGAGACTCAGTTCCTACCTCCCCAAAGCCATCCCAGATATGCCCACCTTGTACTTGTCAAGCAGTGGCAGCTTCAGGACTAGCTCCTACCCCTTCTTTGCTACTTGGTTGACTTCACTGCTCTCTTCCATACAGAAACTTTGGAGCTGTCATTGATTCTTGGCTTACCCCTGACACGTCCAATCAGAGATATTGAGAGTGGAGTTTATTTCAACTTGACATTCTATTTCTAACCATATTTCTTAGACATTTATAACTTGTGGTGAAAAGAAAAGGAAAGGAAAGGAAAAAAGAGGCTGTTCTGATCGGCTAAGAAACATATTAATATGTAATTTATCATTGATTTTTTTTTTTTTTTAAATAATGCTTGCCAACAAGAATTGAGTACTTATTCCTTGCCAGGCACTATGCTGAATACTTGTATTTTCACATTTATTCTGACTATTCATTTTACACACTATTAAGAGAGTCCTGGCGTGGCACTGTAGGATAAGCACTTGACCTCAAGGTTGGTTTGAACTGCAAGGCCAGTGATTCAAACTCACCAGTCACTCCTTGCAAACGCTGAGGTCAGAACAACTCAATGGCACTTAACAACAACAACATAGGGATAGGTGTTATTAAGAAAGCTGAAGCTAAAAGTGATTCAGCGATTTGCCAGTATTACCAAGTTAGGCGGTATCAGAACCAAAATTGGCAGCCAGTTTTGTCTAGTGCCAACTAGACAACTACTTTGGATTATAATACTTGCTTAGAAATTACATCAAGTTTTATCAAGTTTTCATGTTAGTGAATGAGAATGACAATGACAAACTTATCAAAAGAGAATCTGAAACACTTCTATGGATCAATTAGAGCAAGAGTAAGTTTCTATATATTCTGAACTTGTTTTTCAAACTACCCTAAGCCAAGTGAATGTTATGGTAAAACCATTTTTCCTTATGTTATTTATCTCCAAATTCCTTGTCTAGCTCAGATTTTACTATTTACCACAGACATTCACTACAAAATCTCCATATGTGTGCCAGAAAGAATCTATAAGTACTTAAAAAGGTTTCCTATTAAAGCCACTGAAAATTGTCAATAAAAATCTAAGTCAGAACTGAAAAAGCACATGCCTAGGAATTATTTTTTGTGTGTTTGCTTCTTTGTTTTCTACTTGCCCTTGAGTAATTTCTAACTCATGGTGACTATGTATTGTAAAGTATTTTCAAATAGCTGATTTTTCTGGAGATCACCATGCCTTTCTTCTGAGGTACCTCTGGGTGGATTGAAGCCTGAAATCTTCTGGTTAGCAGCCAAGCATGCTAACCATTTGCACCACTCAGGGACTCCTTTGTTAGATGCCTTAAAAGATAAAAATTAAAAGGAGGGGGAGAGACTTTAAAGAGGACATGGCAAATATCAGCAGCCTTCGTTTTGTTTACATGTCTTTATGACTTAAATTACTTGGAGGTTTTGTTGCTATTGTAGGGGACCATTTACTTTAAGAATGGAATAAAATTTGAATGTTGGGGTAAAAGGAATGAAAATACAAATCAAAGAATGTTTTATGTCATTTGAAAATGACATAAATATACATATATATATATATACATATATATAAGCCTTTCTCAAGTCTAAACGCTCTCATCTCATCAGTTTATAGGCATTATCAGCAAATAATTGTTCTATTTTGTTTTTCAGTATATATTTGTCTCCTTACTCTCCAGAGATTCAACTTACAAATTGCTAAAGTCTGTATGTGGACACTTAGATGTGAGTATAACATCTCAGAACCTAAGTTACTGTGTTGCTTTTATATTTTGTGTGTCTGATTTTTTTGTTTTGTTTTATTTTATTCCAATAATTTCAGAATACAAGCGTTGGTAACAGCCCCAATCCGTCTTCTGAGAACAGTTTCCGGGCAGACCGCCCTTCATCTCTACCTCTGGTGGGTTGCCTACATAACTATCTAAATGCAAAAGACAGGGAATATGTCCTTCAATTTCACTTCTCCTTATACCACATGGCTAGGATACAGAAGGAATATGGACAAAAAACAAAAACAAAACATTGCTGTGGAGTCAAATTCAAATTTATAGCAACCCTTAGGAGTTATTTTTTGGAGGAAGAACATCAGACTATGCTGTTTGAGACACAGTTGAAGGAGTAAGGTATTTCTGTCCTGAAAAAGTGGGGATGATATGAAGTCATACGCATTTTTCTGAAGGTTTTTCCTATAAAAGAAACTTGACAGGGAATTATCTTGGGGAATGACTGGCAATTGAGGGTATTCATAGCATCCTACTCTGTTTGCATGTTTAGAGGTTTGGTGTTTTAGAGGATTCACAAATCCTTTTGGAGTAGGGCACAATTCATCTCCCAAATTAATGAATATCTGCCATGTTCGAGGTACTGTGTTAGTACACACTGTAACAATTCTAGCAAACATCAAAATTAGTTTTCACATTCAAAGATTTAGAGCTCACTAGAGAAGATGATCGTACCCTATCATGTCTAAGTGAAAGGCAGAAAGATTCTTTGATTCCCTTATACTTTGTTGACTGTGGACTGTGGGGGAGTGGGGGAGGGGAGGGTGTAATTACCCAAATTTGTTCAAGATTTATACCTACAATGTTTGCTCAAGAGAGTCCTAGTCAGATAATCAAAATAATTAGTGTTCAATACCTTTGGTGAAGGAACATGAGTCCTAAGTTTCAGCATCTACAAACCTTTTCTCAGAGTTGTTAAAAAGTAATGAGTTTCAACAACAACCAATAAATTATAACAAAAAGTCATGGTATTGAAAACATGTTTATACAAAAACTTGTATAAAAATGTCTATAGCAGCATTATTCATAATAACCAAAAAGTAGAAACAATCCTAATGTCTATCAAGTGACAAATGTGGTATGCCCATAATGTTGTTGCTGTTAAGTACTATCAAGTCAGTTTTGGTTTTCTGAGGCTTTAAATCTTAGCAGGAGCAGAAAGCCTCATCTTTGTCCCACGGAGCACTTGGTGTGCTCAAACAGCCGACCTTGTGGTTCCCAGTCCATTGCTTATTGTAGGGAGTTACCATGCTCTCCATATCCATATAATAGAATATTATTTGTCTGTAAAAAGGAATGAACACTCATACATGCTATTTATTATATGAATGAACCTTGAAAACATTATAAGTAAAAAAATCCAGACACAAAAGGGCACATTCACATGTTATATAGTTCTATTTATATGGAATGTCCCAAATAGGCAAATCTGTTCAAACCCACTAATCGCTCCACAGGAGAATGATGGGGTTACCTGCTCCCATGAAGATTTAGTCACTGAAACCTTCTATGGGTCACTATGAGTTGAAATCAACTCAATGGGAATGGGTAGGTTGCTTCACTTCATACAAAGTGATGCATCTCTGCTTTTTCTCTTAGTCCTCGAACGCCTCCCCATTACTTAAATGTGAAAGCACTCACTTGATTTTATTTTACTTTCTGCTGGTTTTGTTGAGTGAAGAAAAACGCTTAAACTTTTAGAGTCTCTTTTGCTAAAGCCATTTTCCCTCTTCTGTTTTTAATACTTTCTTTAAACTATCGTTTAGAAATACCTTTCTCTGTGTCTACATATCCAAACATGAATTTAGAGCTTTCTGTCTACTCTTTTTCTTAGTATTGTCAATAGCATCCAGTATCTCTCATTACAAAGTGCTAATGAGGTGTCTCTAGCTTTTCGCTTGAGCCTTTTCAATCACCGGCATTCCAATTCTTTTCTAGACATTTGTTATTTCAAAGCTGTTGGCCACTGTTTGACATAATTCTAACTTCCCAGAAAAACCTCACATTCAGTAACCACATACAGTGAAACCGTGGGAGCTGGAACGTGAAGAGACTGCCTTGTTTTTCCAGGTCTCCCAAGTTTTCCACCTTTAATAAGATCATTAGTTTTAGAGAAAACATGTTTCAAGTTTTTCTTCTCTGACAGGTTTCTACCTTACACAGGTTCCAGCTCTCTTAGGCTTTACTGTACTAAGCAATCTATTGGGAAGAAACCAGTAGTATGGGGTAATCCTTCTTTTCTGAATTTTATTGGGGCTGTTGTTGTTGTTAAGTGCCATCAAGTCAGTTCTGACCCATAGGAACCCTGTATAGGGTTTCTGAGGAGCAACTGGTAAGCTTGAAGCACCAACCTTGCAGTTCAAACCAACTTCGCACTCCAGCTCATTAACCCACAGCGCCAAACCAGGACTCCTTTATAGGGACTGTTGTTGTTGTTAAGTGCCATTGAGTTGATTCCGACCCATAGCAACCCTGTATAGGGTTTCTAAGAAGCAGCTGGTGAGCTTGAACCACTGACCTTGCAATTCAAACAGCTTTGCAGTCTGGCGCATTAACCCACAGCACCACACCAGGACTCCTTTATAGGGGCATCTGAGTAAAAAGCCTAGGAGTTGCAAAAGCCTATCTGTTTAATAAGGGAATATTGGACTCTCTGCATTTCACTATTTCCCTTCAGGATTTCAATGACGAATTCTCAGATCTGGATGGAGTGGTTGAGCAAAGAAGACAAGACATGGAAGGATACAGCAGTTCTGGCTCTCAGACTCCAGAATCTGAGAACTCACGAGGTCTGGAAATTATTGTATTTTGATCAGAACTTAATCCTACACAAAACATCCCCTCCCACCCCTTTAAAAAGTTTTTTAAAAAAACAAACAAAAAGAACACCTATCTTCCTAATTATCATCTGGGAAAGAAATCTGGAGAAAGGGTAGTTAAAGTTAAAGGTAAATAAGCTATCTGGTGAAAATCAGTCTCTCTTTATTTACATTTATCTCCTAAATATTGAGGTGGTTAGAAAAGAAGAATATTTATTTTCCTACCATTCATTTAAGTAATATGATTGTTATAGCTGAATTGCCCCTGGGTGTCAGTGGGGTACAAACTGTCCTTATATCATTTATGACTTACCCCCATCCACTTCAGTCAACTTATAAGAGGATTCATTTATATTCTCGAGCATTATAATCTATTAAGAGATTGATTTGTTTTGAGGTTGACCCTATGTTTTCTACATGTATTGAGAAGAAAATTTACCTAGTCCTGTTTTGGCTTGATAGATTTCCATTTGACAGACTCCCAGGCAGTTCTGAGTGTCTCCAAAGGAGAAGCAAAACCAACTCGGGCAGATGTCCATGCGAACAGAATGGCTGAAGGAAAAGCGAAGAGTCTTCCTTTACATGGTAGGAAGTAGATTTTTTCTTAACATCTGTTTGTAAATTTTAATGGATCCTAAATTGTAGTGTGGCAGTATAGGATAAGCACTGAACTGCTCACCACAAGGTCGGCAGCTCAAACCCACCATCTGCACCTCAGAAACCCTATACATAGTGGCAATGAGTGGGAACCAATTCCACAATGCTTAACAACATTTCCATTTATGACAGCCTTCCCCCAACTTCCCACTGTAAGTCTGTGCATATTGTTTATTTATTCATTCAGCAAACAGCACCCAAGTGCTTTAATGTTGGGAATACAAAGCTGAATAGCTCCCCTGGGAATCACTTCACTATTCTCAATACTTTGAGATTATAATTCAAAAATTGTAGGTAAATTTCAAAGTATTGAATGATTTCCTATTTAGTAATTATATCAAGATGACTAAACTTCGTCTCTCATACTTTGGACATATTGCCAGGAGGGAAGTCGCTAGAGAAGGTTGTCATGCTGGGTAAGATGGAGGGGCAGAGAAAGAGAGGAAGACCCCCAACGAGATGGATCAGCCAGGTGGCATCATTGATGGCATCAAGTGTGGCAGCGGTAGTGAGGTTGGCCCAGGATCGGACATTGTTTCGTTCTGCTGTGCATGGGGTCACTATGAGTCGGTTCCGACTCAATGGCACCTGACAACAACAACAATTATATAATAATTATTTACCAGTTATGCCAGCATGAGAGCAAGTTAACCATTGACTCCAACACAATGTTTCACACAAAGAAAGTACTCAGTAATTATTTATTGAATGAATAGTGAAGTAATAATAATTATTGACTAAGGAGTTGCTATTATAATTATTGGCTGGTTGGAAACTTTCAGGTAGTATTTTTTCTGCTGTTCCTTTCCTGGGGTAAAGTCTCTATTTCAAGTGCCTCTTCCCCAAAGGATTATTGCTGGATGAATAGGTGTGTTATGGTTTTAAAACTGTCTCTTTTTGTGCACCCAACAGGTCAGTCAGAACCCATTGGAATATTACACAAAGTTAAGTCTCAGAAATGTCTGACTCTCCACCATATTCTGATAGTTTATGCCATTGTGTAAGTAAATGAATTTACTACTAGTGACTTAAGAAAGTGATTCAATTCTCTAAAGGGATAATTTGTTCTCTTCACCTAACCAAGAGGCATTGCAAATCTCATGTGTCTGTAATGGGATCCAAGTATTTTCTTTGACAATTTTTGTCTCTTAGTTCCACACTTTACTTTGATAAGCTTAGATTCCATTTCCTTATTCATTTCCCTCTTGCTTAAGAAAGTATTGAAAAGGAAAGATGGAAATGGAAAATGATATGCTAAATCCAGCAAAAGACTAAGTCCTGAGTTGATACTATCAATAGGGAAACTGTTCTGTGAATTATGAACCAATTTTTCCTTGTTACTTATTTTTCCATCTATCACATGTCCCTTGGATATGTGCTAGGTGGGAAAACAACTTTAAATGTCTTAGTATGTTTCTGAGAATTTAGGCATTGACTTGTTAAACGTCCCCATCAGCTTCTAGTCCATAACCAGTTATTCTTCTGAAAATTGCCCGACCCAGTTCTATGCTGTTCCTCACAACCAAAGAGCATATTTCCACTTTCCAAATGAAACAGGGCATTTGTGAGTTACCAGAGAACAAGGCTGGGCACTCCCTGGCCATGTTCTCCTAGGAGAGGGAGACAGTCCCACTTAGGAGGACAAACACAGGCTTGTGTACTCCAGCTTGGATGTAACCATGAGCAATCATATTGAATGGTCATTGTTTGTAAAATGAAGGATTTGGGCTATAGGACTTTAAGTTCCCTTCTGAATTTAAGGTTTTGTGATAAACAGCAGCCTTTGAAACAAAACCTTTGTAAATCTCATTGACCAAGTAAATTTGGAAAATCCCTGGCCTCCAATTGACAATATTGGCTCTGAGTTTATCAGTTTATTACCATAAGGTCCTTATCATTAACCTACTGAGAATTTCTTTCTTTTTTTTTTTTTAATGCCTGCCCAGTGTCTGTGCACTACTCATCTCCACCTTCTACATGAGATATAGAATTAATACTCTGGAGGAACGCCTGGGATCACTAACCTCCATCGTGAATACCCATAATACCGAGTAAGACATTCTCCCTCCACCCTCATGCTGTCATTTCTTTACTAGTCAGATAACTATAATATTTGACCTGAATTTACCATGATGATTCTTCTTGTTATTGTTGTTAAGTGCCATTGAGTCAGTTCCAACTCATAGTGACCCTGTCTAGGGTTTCTGGGGAGCAACTAGTGTGTTCCAACCGCCAACCTTTTGGTTCCAACCAACCATGCTGTCCAGTGCAGTATCTTGCAGCACCACACCAGGACTCCTTAGCATGATTCTTAGCAAGCATTAATTGAAGATCGATTGTGTATGAAACCTTTTGTTAAGTGTATATACAGCGAATCAAAACCTTTTGTTAAGTGTATATACAGGGGGAGGGTCCAAGAAATGACTTTGCACTATTCTTGAGCTGCTGTAAAGTTGCCAGTATTATGGCAAGAAGCAAGTCTAATTTTATATCATCTTGCTCTGTTATCCTAAGACTTGGTGGGTTTGAACTGTCAGCCTTGCAGTTAGCAGTCCAGTGCTTACTCTACAACACCACACCAGGGTTCCCATAACGTGTACCCTGATGCAACTTAAAAATTCTGGTGTGGCTCTGTAGAATAAGCACTGGACTGCTAACTGTAAGGACAGCAGTTCAAACTCAACAACCATTCTCAGAAACCTTATACAGGTTCACTTAGAACAGACTCAACAGCATACAACAACAATGTCAACTATGGACTTTCATGTATCAGTATTGGTTCATCAGTTGTAACAAATGTACCATGTTGCTGTTAAACTTCTTATTTCTTAGAAAATGTGTATTTTAACTAATGATGTTAATATTATAATAAAGTCCAGCAATGTTTAACATGCTTGATTTAATCAAATCAATTCACACATGAATTCTTTCCTTTAATCTATTTACGTAAGAATTTTGATGCATTACCTAAAAAGTAAAATAAAATATTCCATATAAGAAAGAATGCTTTTTAACTGGCTTACAAGCTTTCAAGAGGGTGTGAAGAATGGTAGAATCTCCACTGAGTAGTATCTAATCTGTCTAGGCTGGGCTGATGAAATGAAATGTGGATAGGTCTCTTGTGATACAATAGTGAATAATTGTTTTCAGGACTGATTGTGAGGGTTGGATTTGTAAAGGTAGATGTTTTGTAGCAAGGAGGGGAGTGGTTAACTTTTCAGTTTAGGAGCGAAGGTCCCTGGGACCATCAAGGGAGAAGAGCGGAGACCCTACCCAGAGAAGCAGTGATGCCTGAGACGGAGGCAGAGACGATGACGTGGAGAGATGGAGCAGTTGGGGACTTTGGACACAGAGAGGGAGAGGGGCTGTGTGCTGACAGACTGGGAGGCAGGCTTGTAGTGTATACCCTTTGGTTGGTTGATGATGCATGGAGGGGATTGTAACCATGGCAATGAAACGATATAAATAAGATGAATGTAAAAACTAATGTTCTCCCATGTAAACTATCACATTAAAAATTCACAATAAAACATTTTTAAAAAAAGGAAGCATACTTTTGCCCAAATGTAAAGATAAAGATTTTTTTATAGTTATCACGTGCTAGAAACTGTATTAGAATGGATGCATATACACATAAATATGTAAAATCTTGCCTCATGATATCTTCACCACAACCTTTTAAGATAGCTATTATTCCCTTTCTATAGACGAGGAAACCAAGACCCAGAGAAATAATTAGCTTGATGTCTTATAGTTAGAACTAGAATCAGGATTCAAATGCAAGACTCTGTGACTTCACAGACCATAGACTTTCCAGTCTACCAGTAGCGTAGGGGTTATGAATCGGGCTGCGAACCTTAAGGTCAGCAGTTCGAAACTACCAGCTGTTCCGCGGGAGAAAGATGAGGCTTTCTGCTTCCATAAAGATTTACAGCCTAGAAGACCCTGTACAGGGTCGGTATGAGTCAGAACCGACTCCATGGTACATCATAACAACAACAAGTGTTTCTCAAACTTTACATGTGTCACAGGCACTCAACGGACTTTTTAAAACTTAGATCGCTGGGCCCCAGAATTTCGGTTTCTGATTCAGTAGCTCTGGGATTCTTTCTAGCAAGTTCCTAGGTGATGTTGATGGTGCTGTACAGAGGACTACACTTTGAGAACCACTTTATTATTCCATTCTAGGACCTTTCTTTATTTTGTAAGATTTTCCTAAAGTTCTTGTTCTGTGGCTTACATATATGCTGGTTTACAAGTTATTTTTGAACCATGCATACACAGTTGTTGTTGTTAAGTGCCGTCGAGTCATTTCCAGCCCATAGCGACCCTGTATAGGGTTTCCGAGGAGACCCTGATGAGCTTGAACCACCAACTTTGAAGTTCAAATGGCTTTGCAGTCTGGCGCATTAACTCACAGCACCACATCAGGACTACATACACAGTTGTTTTTGTTGTTGTTAAGTGCAGTCGAGTCGATTTTGACCCATAGCGACCCTATGTAGGGTTTCTGAGGAGCAGCTGTTGAGCTTGAACCACCGACCTTGCAGTTCAAACGGCTTTGCAGTCTGGCACATTAACCCACAGTGCCACATACAGCCAATAAAATAGAGAAGTTTAATGAATGGTTTGGAGTCCTGGTGTGGTGCTGTAGGATAAGCACGGGATGAGGTCTATTTGAACCTCAAGGTCAGCAGTTCAAACCACCAGCTGCTCCTTGGAAGCACTACACAAGGTCGCTATGACTCAGAACCAACTCGAAGGCACTTAACAACAGCAATAACAATGAATGGGTTAGAATAGATTCATTCTTCTCTCCCATCTTTTTTCAAATGTTAGTACAGCTATAGACAGAAAATGACTCTTGATTACAGCAGACCTCTAGACCCCCTTTTAAATAAGAAGCTGCGTCCTGTTAACATTTCATTAATTTGTTAACAATGAGAGGGAAATGCCCTAAGAGAAGCAAGTGGAATATTCTTTTACTCTTAACAATCATCCCAGGAGAAGCTTGAAAAATAATCTTGTCAATGAAGAATCCCAAAGACCACACGTAACATGAAGCCAGGGAACAACCAGGATGGGCAAGTCTGAGCTTCATCAGTATCTTATTTCTCCAAAAGTAATTCATCTGTGCTATCCAGATAGCTAAGGACTCCTGATGTAGCACTGTAGAATCAGTACTGGACTGTAAACCACAAGGTTAGCAGTCCAAACCCACCAGCTGCTCCTCAAAAACCCTATACAAGGTCACTATGAGTCAGAACCAACTTGACAGCAATTAGCCACAACATTCAGGTAGCTAAATCCACATATGTAATCTGATTCCTCCATTACTGATGAACCATCCTTTGGAACCCTTACTTTGTACCAGCCTTTTTAACATGTTAGCAGCCCACTGATTGCAAAGTCCTCAAATGGTACTGCACTCTTTTGGATTCCTAGACCAAGGTGAGAACATAATACTACTCAGAGTCTTAGATTGACAAGACAGTTCTCTGAGTCTAAGATCATTTATCTAGAAAACACAGATTTAGATTCAGTTTATTTTTGATAGTATAGGTTAAGATACAGCATTAGTTGTTTCAGTACTAGCTCATAGAAAAATATTCTGATTACTTTCTTAAAATTTAGATGTTGTTGTTGTTAAGTGCCATTGAGTTGGTTCCAACCCATAGCGACCTTGTATAGGGTTTCTGAGGAGCAGCTGGTGAGCTTGAACTACCGACCTTGCAGTTCAAATGGCTTTGAAGTCTGGTGCATTATCCCACAGCGCCATATAACCAATAGTAATTTACCAAGTGCTTATGTCTCAAAAATGGATCTGTGTAATAAACTAGAGCAGTTACTGCCATCCAAGAACTTAACAGCTTAAATTAGATTACTATCAAGAAATATAGAGAGGATAAAGACACATGGTTCTGAACCTTCACACAAAACTCTTACAAGCAACTTTAGACTGTCTCTCCAAGAAAATAAACACACACAAATTTTCTACAATTTTAGCTGGCACGGGGTCTCAGTGGGCCCTAGAAGGAGAGTTCATGCCATAGTCAAGGAGGGTTCATGCCATAGTCAAATGGTAAATCATGAATACATCTTTCAGGCTACAAGACAAAGGCACTCACATTCACAGGGCAGGTCTTCAAGAAGGAACTACAAAAATCTCACACTCACTAGAATACTGATTAAAGATAATCCTAAGTGTTCTGAAAGTTGTGGTAAAAAAAGCTCCTTCTCTCATGAAAAAAAAAAAAAATCTGCATATCGTAGAAAAAACCAATAATTCTTTCAAATTTGTGATGTGGTGGGACTAGAGATGGATATTAGTGGTCGTGTCAGTTCTGACTCTTAGCCACCCTGTATAGGGTTTCTGAGGTTGTAAATCTTTATGGGAGCAGAAAGCCTTATTTTTCTCCCTTGGAGCAGCTGATAGACTCAAACTGCTGACCCTTTAGTTAGCAGTCCAATTCATAACCCAACTACACTACCAGAACTCCGTGAGAGAAAATGTTAGTAGTTAGTAAAAATAGTGCTTGAGAATAATTGAATAGTTTTTGTTTGGAAAGCCAACATGCCCACTTAAATAACAACAGCCTAGGGCCTGGTAAGGAGCTCTGGTAGCGTAGTGGTTACGAACCGGGCTGCGAACCTTAAGGTCAGCAGTTCAAAACTACCAGCCCCTCCACGGGAGAAAGATGAGGCTTTCTACTCCCGTAAAGATTTACACCCTCAGAAACCCTGTACAGGGTCACTATGGGTCGGAACCGACTCGACGGCACTTAACAACAACAACAGGGCCTGGTAAACTTCTGGACTGCTAACTACAAGGTCAGTGGTTCAAACCCACCAGCCACTCCTCATGTGGTTTTTGTTTAGAAACCCAGCCACTAACATGCCCACTTAAATAGCAATAGCCTAAGGTCTAGTATAGGAGTCCTGGTATGGTGTTGTGCGTTAATGCGCCAGACTGCAAAGCCATTTGTACTGCAAGATTGGTGGTTCAAGCTCACCAGCTGCTCCTCAGAAACCCTACACAGGGTCACTATGGGTCGGAACTGACTCAACGGCACTTCACAACAACAACAAGGTCTAGTGTGGCCCTGTAGGATAAGCACTGGACTACTAACCACAAGGTCAGTGGCTCAAACCCTGACCCTGGGTCACTGTGAATTGGAACCAACTCAACAACGCTTAACAACGAGGCGTTTCTAGCTGAGCTTTTAAGCACTGGTGCCCTTGCCATCTAATGTGAAGCATGTGCATCACTTTCTGGTGTTAACAAGTGAACTGCCTACAGTCTTCTGTTATAATCTAGTTTTCTGTTCAAATACATTTGAAATGTATTCATTCTACTTCCTACTTTGCCATCCCTGCCCATCCATAATCATTACTCTCTTTGTTCTTACAGACAGACTGCACCATCTGGCCTGGGGTCACAAGCACAATTAAATGTGGAGGTCCTCTGCCAAGAACTTACAACTAACATAATGAAATTGGAAAAGGTGACTGATGTCTTTCCTGTGTATAGAGACAATAGCAGTAAAATCTAGCATCATCCTAGGGTTGCATACTCAAATGATTTTTTGTGCAGTTGGCAACCTAAATGACCAGGCTATGGGGTCGCATAGTAAATATGTAGCTATTGTTAGCGGCTATTGAGTTGGCCCAACTCATGGTGACCCCATGTGATCCATAGGGTTTTCATTGGCTGATTTTTAGAAATAGATTGTTCAGCTTTTCTTCCTCATTTTAGAGTGGAAGCTCTGTTGTGACCTGCTCACCATCATAGCAACACACAGCCTTCCCTAACAGATGGGTAATGGCTGACTTTCAGGTGCATTGGCTGGGAATCAAACCCAGGTCTCACAAGGAAGGCCAGAATTCTACCCCTTTTAGTAAACGTAGAATTTTTTTTTATTTTCACAAGAAAATAGGTTTTGATATCATTTACTTGAAAAGATGAGGCTTTCTGCTCCCATAAATATTTACAGCCTCAGAAATGCTGTACAGGGTCGCTATGAGTCAGAACTGACTCCATAGCACATAACAACAACAACAAAAACTTGTTGGTCTTGTTGGTCTCTTGTTTTTCTTTCTTAGAAGTATTTTTGTACCATAGAGATCAGTGGCAGATAGCTGGTGACTGACACTGGGGTTCAGAGTCATGAGACAGGACTCGGAACCACTGGCCTAACCAGAGAGGAGAGCTCCAACTCAACGCAAGCTGATTTTTACCATACATAAAATATTGCATTCAATCTTGACTGTAACCTTGATTGGTAGGTGTAATTGTCCCTATCTGGTAGAAGAAGAATCTAAGTTTCAAAGTTAACATACTCACGGTGACACTCCTAGAAAGTTGGACCTGGAATTTGAACCAGGTCCATCTCCAAAGTTACACTTGAAAGTCCTCTGATTTATTGCTTCTCAGAATACAGTCATAAGCCTTGTTGATAAGATCACTGGTGTACCTTTACCTCTGAAAGTATCTTCCTACGGGGTAACTTGAGATACCTACCCTTAAACTGTGGAACCCTTAGAAGTCAATTAGAGAGTAAATGGGGAAGATAGGCAAGCCAGATATGTCCCAAAAGTTAAATGTTCTGCCATTTCTTATTTTCTTCACCTCTCAATGTTTCTATTCCTTCTTATCTGACAATGACTTTGTTTTAACCCTAATCCCTAAGGTAAGATTTAGTGAATCATGTGTTCATTTGGAGTTGCTACCACAAACGCTCAGGATTAAGTGGCTTTGTGTTATTGGGCAGCTCCTGGGTGGTGCAAATTGTTAATGCAGCCAGCTGCTAACTAAAAAATTGGAGGTTCTAGTCCCCCTAGAAGAGCTTGCAAGAAAGACCTGGTGACCTATTTCTAAGAAATTAGCCATTGAAAACTTTCTGGAGCACAGTTTTACCCTAATGCCCATGGGTGGAATTGAAACATTATGATGTCGTTATGTTTATTTGGGAAGAAGCACAAAATGCAAATTAGTACAATTATTCTTATTTTACTACATTAAATGTTTTCTGGCATTTAAGAACTGAAATATTGAGAGTCAAAGAATTTTCAGATTTCTCTTCTAAATTGAGTCATAAAAGAATTCATAGTGAATCATTTCATCTTTCGGCCAAACCTGGAATTTTGTTTTCTATTTTAAATCCAATATCAACCTAAAGAAGGCATGAGTTAACTACAAGAATTTTTTTTCTCTTCTAAAATGTTGTTCTGAAAATTGGAGATCAATGATTTTTTGTAATGAAAAGCTTACAGATGTTAGGCATTTATGCTAGCCTAGAGAATAGGGTGGTATTAACTTTCAAATCTGTTCAGTCTAACACACTGAGCAGCATCCTTTGGGTTGGAAGCACATGGAATGCTGGTGCCTTCTGCATTTCTTTCTGCTCTCCCACCAGGCAAAGCCAGGACATTACATACTATAAATGTTGTTGTTGTTAAGTGCCATTGAGTCGGTTCCAATGCATAGCAACCCTGTATAGGGTTTCTAAGGAGCAGCTGGTAAGTGTGAACTGCCCACCTTTTGATTGAAGTTGACCTTTTGGCCCAGTGCATTATCCTGCAGTGCCATACCAGAACTCCATACATAGTTAGGGAACAGACAAGCAAACAGTTGGCCAAGTCTAGTGCAGAGTTTTAGACAGAGCCTAGTTGCTCTGCAACTGAGACCTATGGTACCAGTGGAGACCACCTTTGTCTCAAAGTGGAATCAGTTAAAGATTTGACCTGGGATCAAAATGCATATAAAAAAAAAAAAGTTGTAAATTACATATATTGCTCAAAGGAATCTAAGTATGAACACAATCATCAGACCATACCCATGTTCTTTTTGATTGGTCTCCCCCATCCCAGAGGCACTCTGGTAAGAACGCAGCAGAGACAGATAGTGAAATACCACCTGCATGCTGTAAAAAAATTCAAGATGTGTCTCATCAAATTTTACTCAGTGCTAACAATTCCTTTCTACTCTCCTTCAGGGAGACGTCATGTCTAAACCTCATGATCTGTCCCTACTTGTAATGGCCCTGTTTCTATTCATGTCACCATTGCACCTTCAACCATCCTCACTGGAAATTTAATAATTTTTTAAGTCCTTATTTTTCACGTGCCACTGATTGGCAACTCAGTTGGTTAATCCTTTTTTCTTCAAATATCTCAAGCTTCTATTCCCATTGACACCATCCTATGTCATTCAGGCCACCAACTACCTATCTAAATGGTGTAACAAGATCTCATTGATATTTTTTGCTTACATTTTCTTGATTATTACACAGGCTGGGTATCTTTTCATATGTCTATGGAGCATTTCATATGTCTAAGGAGCTCTGGTAGTGTAGTGGTTACAAATCGGGCTGCGAGCCGCAAGGTCAGCAGTTCGAAACTAACAGCTATTCCACGGGAGAAAGATGAGGCTTTCTGCTCCTGTAAAGAAGTCCTATGCAGGGTCACTATGAGTCGGAACCAACTCCACGGCACATAACAACATAGAGCATTTGGGCTGTCTCCTGTAAAGTGCCTATATAAAATAAACCTTTGTTGTATTTTTGGATTTTTTTGTGGGTTTTACATATTTTGGGGTTTGTTGTTGTTAGGTTCCATAGAGTCCATACCAACTCATAGTGACCCTATGCACAGCAGAACAATATACTGCCCGATCTTGGGCCAACCTCACTATTGTTGCCACACTTGAGTCCATCAATACTGCCACTTGGCAGTCCATCTCGTTGGGAGTCTTCCTCTTCTTCTCCAACCCTCCAACTTACCAAACGTGATATCCTTCTTCAGTGACTGGTCCCTCCTGACAATATGTCCGAAATATGAGAGCTGAAGTTTGGCCATCTTGGCCTCCAAGGAGCACTCTGGCTGCACTTCTTCCAACACAGATCTGTTGGTTCTTTTGTCAGCCCATGGCACTTTCAATATTCTCCTCCAACACCATAACTCAAATGTGTTAATTCTTCTACAGTCTTCCTTATTTACAGTCCAGCTTTTGCATACAAATGAGGTTATTGAAAATACCATGGCTTGGGTCAGGCGCACCTTAGTCCTCAAGCTGACATCTTGCTCTTCAATACTTAGAAATTCTTGTTTTGTTTCTTTTCTACTTTCCACTTCAGTTTTTCTAGTTACCACTGGTCCTGAAGAATGGGTGGAAAAGATGTGAAATGGGAATGTGAGAGAAGAAGGCTGTGCACCTTCTGGATGAAGAAATAAAGAATTGGTTTCCTCGGGCTGTAAATGTCATTGTTGGTAGTACTGGTTGTATACTACTGAGTGGTTCTGACTCATAGTGACCCTCTATATGGTTTCCAAGGCCATAAATCTTTACAGGAGCAGAAAGCCTCATCCTTCTCTCCCAAAGTGACTGGTAGATTCGAACTGCTGACATAGTAATTAGCAACTGAGTTCGTAATCCACTACTCTACCAGGGCTCCTTGTAAATGTGATAGTTGTCGTTGTAGTTAAGTGTCATCGAGTTGGTTCCAATTCACAGCGACCCAGTATAAGAATTCCAAGGAGCGACTAGTTTGACGAGTTTGAACCACCATATGATTAATGGTGGAGAAATAATGAGAAATGTGGCTGAAACACTTGTTGGTATCGTTAATGTGCTACTGTATAATGGTCACAATACTTGTTGGTGATAAGTCCTTGCTCTGTATCCTTAAAGGTTCATTTATTCATCTAACATTTACTGAGCACATTTTAAATGCCCCACATTGGGCTATATTCTTGAGATCTAAAGATATAATGTGATCCTGATCTCTATGAAATTCAGAATATACAATGCCTAATAGGAGCTGGAAGAAGTGCAGCCAGAGTGCTTCTTGGAGGCCAGGATGGCTAAGCTTCGTCTCTCCTACTTTGGACATATTGTCCGGAGGGAATAGTCACTGGAGAAGGAAGTCATGCTGGGTAAGATGGAGGGTCAGAGAAAATGAGGAAGACCCCCAACGAGATGGATCGGCCAGGTGGCAGCATTGATGGCATCGAGTGTGGTGGCGGTAGTGAGGTTGGCCCAGGATCTGTCATTGTTTCGTTCTGCTGTGCATGGGGTCGCTATGAGTCGGTTCCAACTCGATGGCACCTGACAACAATAGGAGCTCTGATAGTGTAGTGGTTATGAATCGGGCTGCGAACCTTAAGCTCAGCAGTTCAAAACTACCAGCTGCTCCGCAGGAGAAAGATGAGGCTTTCTGCTCCCGTAAAGATTTTTAGCCTCAGAAACTCTGTAGCGTCGCTATGAATCAGAAGGGACTCCACGGCACATAACCACCAATAGGAGTGCTATACATTATTATATGGTGTTTGTTGGATTAAAACAATCAAATGGACCCTGTAAAGACCGAGTTCACATTGTCTCTGAGTGGACTTGCACCACACCTGGTGTTATTAATGCACTGTTCTTTCACTTGAGTCTCATTTCTCGCAATCTCTATGTACATTTTCATCTCTGTGCAACTCCTTATTTCTCGTTGTATCTTTCTTCATTTTAAAGTGGATTTTACAAAGTGTTCTATTCCACTTAAATGCATTTATTTGCCTCATCTAAATTTAGCTCATGTGTAGCGGGAGAAAGCGATGGTAATCTTCTTCCATAAAGATTTATAGCCTTGGAAATCCTACGGAGCAATCCTACTCTGTGCTGTACCGGTGCTATGAGTCGGAATCAACTTGACAGTGTGTGGTTTGGTAGCATTTTATTCAAGACAGAATAGGTTCATCACAAGCATTGTTTAGCTAGGCATAGCAAATATGCCCTTATTTTTTAGATAGGCATTGTTTAGATAGGCATAGCAAATAAACCCCATTTTCTTTTAAATAATAAGAGTTTCTTTTTTATTTCAAGATACAAAACAACCTACAAAAACTGCTTGAGAATGGGGATTGAACTTTTCCCGGTTGCTTGGGCCAACATAATACCTCACATTTCCCATTGAAGAAGGTGCTCCTTAAGGCGTTCTGGTGGAGAGCCCCCTGCTGGTCGGAGGAGCTCATGGACAGGAATTCAAAGCCACTTTTGCACTTGGAGGTCTACAGCTCAGGAAAGGAGGGAAGGAGAATAACCTTGGTTCCTGTGCAATAAACGTTGACGTTGCCTGTCTGAAGACATTTTCACAGCTGCTGTCTGAGAAAGCAGTTTTCTGGAAGTTTCCAGGAAGGTCCCAGTGGACACTCTCTTGTGTGATTATGGCTCAGCAGTTATCAAGGTGTTCGTATACACACTCCATTCCGTGCCTTTTCAGTCTTTGTCACCCTCTTTTTCTTCCATGGTGCCCTGGTGACACTGTGGGTTAAGCATTGGGCTACTAATCACAAAGCCAGCAATTCAAATTGACAAGCCACTCTGCAAGAAAAAAATGAAGCTATCTGCTCTTGTAACAACTTAGTCTCAGAAACGCTAAGGAGCAGTTCTACTCAGACCTAGAGGATCACTTTGAGTCCGATGGCAATGGACTTGATTTTTGTTTGTTATTTTTCTCCTTTTCACTGTAACCACATGCATATTAAGGCCGTTTGAAGAGGTAGTCTTGACTCTCCAGAAAAAGCTCTAAGTGATTCTAATGGGCAGACTTGCTTCAACATCCACAGTTTTTTTCCCCTCCTGCTGTTGTTTTCTGGTTTAAATTTTTTGTGTATCTTAACTTCCCAATTCAGTATTGGCAATATCAGTGCACTAAACTATGCCATTTACGTTTTGCTTTTGTCTTATTCTTGTGACTAATACTTAATTGGAGTGATCCTTACCCAGCCCAGGTCAGGAATTTGAGGCATGGGACTGAAGTACTAAATCCTATTTATGTTGAAACCAAAACTAATCTTTACACCAAAAAGTATAAATAGTGATTTAATAAAGTATGAAAAAATCACTTGATTTTTTTCAAAGATTATAGGTGGACTATGTTAGCAGTTTTTAAAACAGGATGTTTTAAAAAGCAAAACTGTAACATGTTTTTCTCCTTTGCTGCCTAAAATAAAGGAATAACTTGTGGTTTGCTAACTTCTAATTATCATAGGGGTTGACTGGTTTTTATTAATAATTATTTAGGATACCATAAGATCTGTGAGTATAAAAGGATATTCTGTTTTCTATCTGCAATGCATTTTATAATCATTTCTATGAAATGTATTTTGTTTAATCAGATAAGCTAATAATTGACTTGGTTAACATCATTGTTATTTGTTAGCCTACTGGGCAAGAACTCTACCTGGTGCACCACTGGCTTGTAATAAATGCTCATTGGTTAAAATGTCCTGCTACCACTGTGTTTGTATCACTTTCGTAGTTCTTTGATTTAATATGATTTTGAACTGTCTGTCTGATTTCTACTAATTTGAACTCATTCATACTTCTTTCCTCCCATGTATGTATTTCAAAACTGATTGAGACTCCAGATAGAATGAAATAATGAAAAGAAAATCAACTTTGAAATCAGAAAACCAGTGTTTGATCCCTGGGTCCAGGTCTTAACAACTGTGCAATCTTAGGCAAGATATTTGGTGATTTTCTGCCATTTTACTAAGGAGGTTACAAAAAGTGTCCCTGTAAGAGGTACGTGTTACAATGTTTTCTAAAGAACATAGCCTTGTCAGGTAAGTACTATAGTCTCATAACAGGTGCCATATTCATCTATAAAGTGCTGTGTTTGGCATTCAAATTTGACAAAAGCTCTATGTCAATGTTTTATATTTAAAGTCCATTAGAGAGTCAGCCACCTCAGTAGAATAAATTTCACAAAGGCATGAAGATTCTTAAAAAGATTTAAGTTTCACTGAATTAGTAATCTGCTAATAGAAATTTATCCTAAAGCACCGATCAGAAATATGATCAAAGATTTATATACCAATCTCACATAAACTGGAAATGCTATTATTGTAAATGACCATTCGAACTTTGTAATTAGTAACATATCTTCCTATACTCCACACTACTACAAGGTATTTACCAGGTATTCTTTTTCAACTCTTTTAAACTATGCCAGATGCATTTTTAAGGTTCTTTTTCCTTACATTGCACAACTCATCCTATTTGTATGTATAAATTCAGCTAGGATGCAAAATTTTTGACTTAATTGTGAATCATCTTTACATTATTTTGATTTCTGTATCCTAATAATGAATCCTGGGGTGTGCTATAGGATAATCACTGGGCTGTTAACTGCATTAACTATAATGTTGACAGTTCAAACACACTAGACAAGCTTAAAAACCCTATGCAGAGTCACTGTGATTTGGAACCAATTCAATTGCACACAACAAGAGCATCCTAATATTGGTGAACCTTAGGTGATGCTTGCCAGGTTTATAGGTTTATGGCTGATGATCTAAAGGACATGACATTTGCCTGTTATAAACTGCTCAGGTGATTTTGCTCTTGTAGGCATTTTTTTAAGTCAAAATTCTATAGATCAATAATAGGTATGCTGTCAAAGGAACAAACAAGATGGCAGATCAGGTAAAAGTGCATTGAGGAGCTCTGTCAGCAACAACACTGAATACTGGACCAAGCAGTCTCAGGGGATGGTGCCAGAACTCTGAACCAAACATAAAGGAATATTTAGAAAGTTGGAAGGCTTACAGCCAGTGGAATTTATAACAGAAACAAGAAATCCATTGCTTTCTAATCCAAGATGCTCAGCTGCTCCCTGAGTGGCTATCTTGAGCAAGACCGAACCGGGGAAGGATCAGAGCAGCCACGGATGCCTGACAGAACTACGGAGATAAAGGTGTGGACATTCTTTTTGTTGTATCTGTTTCTTGGCCTCTCACTGTCTGCACACCTCCATGCTGGTGATTAGACGGGGTGTCTGAGTGAGTGGACACCCCACCCCCACCCTCAGAGGTTCTATTACGCATGCACACAGATCTCCTCAAAATTTAAAGGGACTGTTTCCACTTAAAACCAAACAGCAGTGCAAAACAGCCAAGCCAGCCCTGAACTGTTTATCACTAGGAAACAAGCCTAAACAGGGGTTGTGGAGCAGGACAGGCAGACTAAAAAGGAAACAGGCCAAAAATAAAATACTGAGTTATGTCATAACGACCAACAGTGTCATCTTGAAATTTTTCAAGAAGAAGAGTGAAAAGGGAAGCCCATCTTCTGATCACTTCTGCCTGGAGGCAATCAGAAAGTATAAAAAATACCAAAACACATACCCATCTAAGTATTAAGGTCATAGCTAACCACTGAATATGCCCCAAAACCAGAAACAGATGACCATATCAGCACATGTCCAGAAACGAGATAAAGTGACTGAGACAAATGAGTTGGAGGTAGACCTACACTCCATACAGGAAGGAGAGCAGGCTTTGGAAATGCCTGAGAAGGAATTCAGAAAAATTATTATAAAATGTTTCAAAACGCTTTACAATGGAGTTGAGAAAATTAAGGAAGAAGTCAGGAAAGTGCTACAGGAACAACCAAATAAGATAGATATAGCATTGGAAATAATTCAAAACCTACAGAAAGAGGTCCAAACAATTAATAATAGAATATCAGAACTGGATAATACACTGAAAGGACAAAGGAGTAGAATTGAAGAGATAGAAGCCAGAACTAGTGAGCTAGAAGATAAATCTCTCAATACTACTAAGATAG